AATTCAAAATACTCTTGTATGTCTATAAATCACTAAACAGCTCTGCCCCCTCCTATCTTACTGATCTGTTCCAGCCGTATGTCCCACCACGTTCTCTCAGATCAGCAGACCAATTGCTCCTAACAGTCCCAGGAACTCGTCTCAAGCGCAGAGGTGACAGGGCCTTCTCTGTAGCAGGCCAAAGACTTTGGAATGAGTTACCTCTACTCGTTAGACAGCCCCCCTCCCTCACAGTTTTTAAATCTTGCTTAAAATCACACTTTTATTCCCTGGCTTTCAGCACTGTGTGATCTGTGCTGAGTCTGTGTGCATCACACTGTGTTGGTCATGTTGTGGTTGTTGTTGTTATCCATTATTGGTTTTGTCGGTTTCTACTTTTTGGTGTCCTGTTATGTAATCTGTTGCTGTGTGCTTGTTCTGTTTGTCCCTGTACAGCACTTTGGTGTGCTTTGTCACTGTTTAAAGTGCTTTATAAATAAATTGGTATGGTATGGTATGGTATTTGATCATTTTGAACCCATCATTCTATCTTCTCTAGAGCAGGTCATGTGCAGATTGAAACCCTCTGGTTCCTCCTTTGATGTGGTCCTCTCTCGACTACTAAAAGAGGTTTTTCCTACTCTAGGTCTGTCCATTCTTGCCATAGTAAACATTAGTTTATCCACAGGCGTGCTGCAAAAACCTTTAAACATGTTGCTGTCCAGCCTCTCCTGAAAAAAATAAAAAACCTTGACCCTTCAGTCGTGTCAAACTTCCGGCCTGTCTCCAAACTCCCATTTGTTTCTAAACTACTGGAGAAAATAGTAGAGTCCCAGTTGAAGTGCTTCCTGGAGGGTCACGCCATCTTAGAGCTATTCCAATCTGGCTTTAAACCTCTCCACAGCACTGAAACTGCCCTGCTGAAGGTCTTTAATGACAATTTCTTAACCACTGATACCGGTGATTCTGTGCTGCTTGTCTTGTTGGACCTCACAGCCGCCTTTGACACCATCGACCATGAGATCCTCATTGCTGGGTTAGAGCAGTGGGTGGGCATCACAGGGTCAGCCCTCAATTGGTTCAGATCTTACCTCACTGACAGATCCTTTTGTGTCTCCATCAAGGATTTTAGTTCTGCAGCGGCAGAGCTTAAATGGGGGGTTCCGCAGGGGTCCATCCTGGGTCCCCTCCTATTCTCTTTATACCTGCTGCCGCTTGCTGCTATTTTCCGGAAACACAACATACCCTTCCACTTCTACGCCGATGACTATCAAATTTACTTCCCCCTAAGACACAATGGCACATTCTCTATTCAACCTCTGCTCGACTGCCTGGCTGACTTCAGGGACTGGATGGCTTTAAACTTTTTAAGTTTCAATGAAAAGAAGTCTGAAGTCATGTTGTTCCTTCCCAATGACATGATCACAAACCACTGCATCGACCTCTCCATTCTAACCCTGTCAGAAAAAAAAGAGTCACTAATCTGGGAGTGATAATGGACCCTTCCCTGAAACTTAACAATCATGTAAACATGATTGTTAAATCATGTTTCTTCCAACTGAGGCGGCTGTCTAAACTGAAGCCTATATTGTCCAAAAATAACCTGGAGATAGTAATACATGCATTCATTACATCTAGGCTTGATTACTGCAATTCACTCCTGTTTGGTATCAGTCAAACCTCCATAGCACGACTACAACTTGTCCAGAATGCAGCAGCCCGATTTTTAACCAGTACAGGCAAAAGAGAGCACATTACACCAGTTTTGGCCTCCCTGCACTAGTTACCGGTTCACTTTAGAATCCAGTTCAAAATACTCATGTATGTCTACAAATCACTGAACAGCCCCCCCCCCCCCCCCCCATATCTCTCTGATCTGCTACAACCGTCTGTCCCACTACGTTCCCTGAGGTCAGCGGACCAGTTGCTACTCACAGTTCCAAGAACTTGTCTTAAGCGCAGAGGTGACAGTGCCTTCGCTATAGCAGGACCAAGACTCTGGAACGAGTTACCTCTGCTTGTCAGACAGGCCCCCTCCCTCTTGGTTTTCAAATCTCGTTTAAAAACTCACTACTATTCAGTAGCTTTCAACACCAGAGGATCTGTGTTTTGATCCTGTATGCTCCACACTGGTTTGTCGTCATTATGTGCATCGTTTTTATGTCTATATTTCTGATTTACCTCATTTTGTATTTTGCTTTGTGTGTTGTCTGTTGTTCTGTCTGTGCAGAACTTTGGTTGGCCTTGTCGCTGTTTTAAGTGCTCTATAAATAAAATGGCATGGTATGGTACCATTCCTCACACTTCATTACATATCATTGATGGCATGACTCATGCATCAGTGAATACTTGTAATATGAATACACCTTTGGTGCTGGACATCGCCTGCGTGTTTGCGGAGTGAAAGTGGAGCAGCAGCAGCTCCAGAACCGCGTTGTCAGAGACGCCACCGCCCTACCAGCTTCAACGCCGAGGAGCTAACCACAACGACACGCCGAAGAGCGCACCGAGGAACGACTGCTACCAGGCCTGTTTGGGTGAGCCATGCGGAGGCGCGGCGGGCAGGTGAAAGGGTCGGACCCAGTGGAGGTGAACTATGAAAATATGGAGGAAATCAAGAAATCTCTGAATTTTATGAGTGCAGAACTGACAGAGCTAGCTTCACGACAAGAACTTTTGATCAGTCTTGTCGAGGAAGTGAAGCAACTGAAAATTGCACTAAGAGAAAGAGATAAAAAAATATCAGAACTTGAGAGAAAAGTAGATGATCTGGAACAGTATACACGACGGGATGACTTAATAATTACTGGACTTCATGTAAAA